CCCCCCCCCCCCGGGGGTGTTTTGCCAGCACCCAGATAAGTGGTGAATCAACAGCATCACTCAGCACTGCCCCGACTGCCCCCTGGGCCCCCACACCCCACAGGGGTCCAGCGAGCCCCACACACCCCATGGGGGTCCAGAGAGCCCCACACACCCCATGGGGGTCCGGCCGACCCCCCCACGGCCGCCAAGGCTCAGGGTGTCCCCCTCCCAATGCAGGAGCTGGGGGACAGGAGGGTGAGCACAGCCCCTACGAGACACCCGAGAATCCCCCGGCCCTTCCCTGCCCCACGGGGGACCCTCTGCAGTGCCCCCCACGTCACCACGGAGAGCCTGGTGGCACCGGGAGACACGGGATGAGCCAGGATGGGGACGAGATGGGCTGAGCTGAACTGGGCCAAGGCAAACTGGGCTGAACTGGGCTGAGCTGTACCTGGGCTGAGCTGTACTGGGCTGAACCGTGCCAGGCTGAGCTTTACTGGGCTGTGCCATACTGGGATAAAGCTTTACTGGGGTGAGCCATACTGGGGCTGAGCTTTATCAGGCTGAACCATGCCAGGCTGAGTTTTACTGGGCTGAGCCATGCCAGGCTGAACCTTGCCAGGCTGAGCTTTACTGGGCTGAGCTTTATCAGTCTGACCTTTATCAGGGCTGAGCTTTACTGGGCTGAACCGTGCCAGGCTGAGCTTTACTGGGCTGTGCCATACTGGGATAAAGCTTTACTGGGGTGAGCCATACTGGGGCTGAGCTTTATCAGGCTGAACCATGCCAGGCTGAGTTTTACTGGGCTGAGCCATGCCAGGCTGAACCTTGCCAGGCTGAGCTTTACTGGGCTGAGCTTTACTGGGCTATGCCATACTGGGCTAGAGCTTTACTGGGCTGAGCTTTATCGGGGCTGAGCTTTACCAGGCTGAACCATGCCAGACTGAGCTTTATCAGGCTGAGCTTTAACAGGGATGAGCTTTACTGGGCTGAACCGTGCCGGGCTGAGCTTTACCGGGCTGAGCCATACTGGGGCTGAGCTTTATCAGGCCGAACCTTGCCAGGCTGAGTTTTACTGGGCTGAGCCATACCAGGCTGAACCATGCCAGGCTGAGCTTTACTGGGCTGAGCCGTGCCGGGCTGAGCTTTACCGGGCTGAGCCATACTGGGGCTGAGCTTTATCAGGCCGAACCTTGCCAGGCTGAGTTTTACTGGGCTGAGCCATACCAGGCTGAACCATGCCAGGCTGAGCTTTACTGGGCTGAGCCGTGCCGGGCTGAGCTTTACCGGGCTGAGCCATACTGGGGCTGAGCTTTATCAGGCCGAACCTTGCCAGGCTGAGTTTTACTGGGCTGAGCCATACCAGGCTGAACCATGCCAGGCTGAGCTTTACTGGGCTGAGCCGTGCCGGGCTGAGCTTTACCGGGCTGAGCCATACTGGGGCTGAGCTTTATCAGGCTGAGTTTTACTGGGCTGAGCCATACCAGGCTGAACCATGCCAGGCTGAGCTTTACTGGGCTGAGCTTTATCAGGGCTGAGCTTTATCAGGGCTGAGATTTACCGGGCTGTGCCATATTGGGATAGAGCTTTACCAGGCTGAGTCATACTGGGGCTGAGCTTTATCAGGCCGAACCTTGCCAGGCTGAGTTTTACTGGGCTGAACCATGCCAGGCTGAGTTTTACTGGGCTGAACCACGCCAGGCTGAGCTTTACCGGGGCTGAGCTATGCCAGGCTGAACCGTGCCAGGCTGAGCTTTACCGGGCTGATCCGTGCCGGGCTGAGCGGCAGCGGGCGATGGCGGCGCCGGCGGGAGCAGGAAGCGGAGCGTGG